TCAATCTTTTCATAGCAAGTATAGTAAGATTCATGGTAGGTGAAATCAAAATGGATACTGTTCTAAAAATCACCAGTATGCTTGGGGGAAATAATAAGTATTTTTTTAAGTTTATGTGGTATATTCATGTTGTATATCTTGATATTTCTAGTTGTAAACTTTAGCCTGTTTACATTTTTGGATTATTTTCTACTCCCTTTCTTTATAATTTTGAAATCTTACATATTGATCTTTTGGTTTTAAAATGCCTGATACCATGGGATCTGAGAAATTCAGAGACTTCTAGAACACTGGATGAAAGGAAAGGATAAATAGTGAAATTAGAAATAATGACAGAGAATCTTGACCCAAATGTCACAAGACAGTTTGAACAAAGAAATGCATGTGATATTTTTTCCTTTTATGGGGCTCTTACATAAAAGTATCTGAGTCAGGTAGCTCTGCATCCAGGAGCTGCCACAGGTAAGCCAACTAAAGCACAGGAGTGATCCCTGCTTCCTTTTGCAAGGTTAATAACATGAGTTGTCTTTTGTAGGCTTGGCAGTTCCTCGGGATAACACAGGCAGAGAATGAAAATGAACAAGCAGCCATTGTCGCCCTCCAGAGGTACATGAAGCTAAGCACATGACGGTGGCTGATGAACACCTGGGAGTGCACTTGCTCAGTTCCACATTTGTTTTTGCCCCCTCCTGAAGCACATTGTGAAAAACCAGGCCAGGACCAGTACTGGGATGCCACATGTCACTCTAGAAAACAAGAACTTATGACGAAATAGTGTTCTTCAACCACAGTATTTTGCAATCTGCAAATCAATTGGTTCATTAAATACATAGTTTCTTTTAATTTTCTAGACTTTTGTAGCATCTGAAAGTTTTTCTCAGGATAAGCATATTGAGATAATGAAGATTTGTGGGTGAGAATGGGGACAGAGGTAGATGTAGGTAGCATCACCCATTAACTTGATTAGAATCCCTATGAAGCCCTGAAAGTTTCTACCAAATAGACTCACGCTCTCCCTGCCCCTTCTTGAAAGTACTTTTCATATAGAGCTGTAGGAGTAGAATGTATATGCACATGCATATATAGTTTAAAGGTTCCACTGGAGTATGTGTATATATGGAAGTGTACATAACCCATGTGCATGTGTAAATCCTAGAGATTTGGAGTGTTAGAATGTGAGAATTCTAGATCTGGGGCTTTGCCATTCCAGAATCCTAGATTTCAGGATTCCACATCATCCAAAGGTGTTGTGATGCCTAGGGTATTGTTCTTCCTTGAGATCATTTTCTATAAAGGAGAGAACTGGGGATCGGAGAAGGTCAAGGTCATACATTATATGTAAAAGAGACAGAACTTTAACCCTCATGTCCTGACTCTGGAACTCTGGGTCAGTGGTTCTTAACCCTGTATACACATGGCCAATAGAATGATCTTTAAAAAATTAAATAAAATTAAAAAAGACTCCCAGGCACTCCTGATTTAATTGCTTGAGACTAGGAAACCAAGCATCGGTAGTTTTAAACCTTCCATTCTCAGGAGCATTCAGAGTTGAGAACTCTGCCCAGTACTGATAAGTTTCTGAGGTTGGGACCACCACAGGGAGGCCTTAGGTGCTGCTTAGAGCTTGTTCCTTAAAAAGTCTTTTCCAAGGACTACCATTATCATCATTACCTGGGAGCTTGTCAGACCCGTACTTCCTCGGCCCCATCCCACCCACTATACTAGAATGCAGTACAGAGGAAGGTTCAGGGTCCCAGGTGATTCATCTCTACTTCAAAGTTTGAAAAAAACCCTTGGTAGAAGCCAGATGAATAGAATAAGGGGGTTCAGTCAGTCACCTCAATCCTTTGTAAACCCACATTAGTAGTCTGGAAATGGGAAATTCCCTCTCCTCTCCAAAACACTGTACAATCTTTCATCTCTGAATATCCAAATATAATTCAAGTCCAGTTTGGGGGAAGGAGATAAGGTAATAATAACATCCTTTTCTTCTCATTAGATTAACTAGTAATAATTTATGTGCAGGAAGTAGCCATACTTCCATAGTTGTAAAACCATTCATTACAATGAACAAAATCAGTCATCACCAGGATGAATTTTAAATGTTCTTAAAAATCCTCTTTGGCCATGATTTTCATTAGAAGATACATGGTGTTTTCCAGGAATGTAAACAAATGTAATAATATTTTGCAACATTTAATTGGTAAATATTTCACATTTTCTAGAGAACTGTTGGAAAACTGAAAAACCTAAAATTATTTCTGTTTTGTCTTCTTTCAGGTGCTTAGAACTGCAGCCCAACAACTTGAAAGCTTTGATGGCTTTGGCTGTGAGTTACACAAACACTGGTCATCAGCAGGATGCCTGTGAATCTTTGAAGAATTGGATTAAGCAAAATCCAAAGTACAAATACCTTGTGAAGAGCAAGAAGGGATCTCCAGGCCTCACTCGAAGGATGTCTAAATCCCCAGTTGACAGGTATCCTTCTCATTATAACTGACAGTAAATACCCAATACACAATTAATCACCTTAAGGGTGATGAATGAGCCTCAGATCTCTACATCACTCCCTTCACAAAGGCTTTTAGGGCAGCATTCTGCTGGAAGAGAGCACTGAATAGAAAGATCAATGCTCACATCAGAGCTATTATGTTAATCCGTTTTCCATCACTGTAACAAAATACCTGAGACAATCAACCTACAAGGAGGAAAGGTTTATTTTGTCTCATAGTTTTGGAACTTTCAGTAGATGGTTAATTGGCCCTCTTGCTTTGAAGCTCATGGTGAGGCAACGTGTCATGGTGGGAGCATATGGCAAAGGAAACTGTCCAACATATGGCAACAAATAAGCAAAAGGAGCCTTTCTTCGATACATGGGCCTTTGGGGAATACTTATCCAAACCACAGCAACCATCCTTTGGACACATAATCTCCATCTTGGGCACCCACAGACATTTCTATGAGTACCATATTATAAAGCCAACTGCTTTGGACGTAAAATTCACCTGAAATATAATAAGTACTGATTGATGCTCCATGTTTTATGAAGTCTGAGAATTAGGAATGGGTAAATGGAAGTCCTTTCTCCTAGGAATTTTATTTCCATCCACAATAAACCCTGATGTTAAATCCTTTCTCACTGAGGCCCTGGAAATTTAGCTGTGGGGTTTCCACACTGGTACTCCCAGGGTCCCTAGATTTGTCCCTGTAGAGACCTTACTTAGGTTAGCTCCATATGTGTGCACCAACATATTTCAAGAAAATCAGCTGCATTTTTCAACGTTCAGTATTAGTAGTCCTCTCCTTAAGTAAGATATTTTGACAGAAATTTTCCAGTCTGCGATAAAACAAGACTTGAAATAGTCCAAAGAGCTTCAATAGTCAATCATTCATGCCTGGACTCTTTGGGTAAAGAATTTAATGTTTTCTTTTGTAGCTCTGTTCTGGAAGGAGTGAAGGAATTATATCTGGAAGCTGCCCACCAAAATGGAGACATGATCGACCCCGACCTCCAGACAGGCCTGGGGGTACTGTTCCACCTGAGTGGAGAGTTCAACAGAGCAATAGATGCATTTAACGCTGCCTTAACTGTTCGGCCGGAGGTAAGAGTGCACAGCACAGCATGAAACCACCATATTCTCTATAACATGTTTCCTCAGCCTCCTTTGCCCATTTCTTCTACACTTTATGTCCCTCCCTCTGATGTTTAATGTGAGCGGTACTGATGACAGGCTATGTGGCAGTTAATATTGAACTATCTAGAATAGAAATGTTAATTACATGACAGCGTCAAATGATGACTGCATTTTGATGAATGAATGTCACTTCACAAAGTGATTTATGACGATGTCTGAGTAATTCACCTCACCATGGTACCTGTCCATGAGCACAATGTCAGCGAGGCTCCTTCTGGTTGTTAGAGAACTCTGCTTTTTGTCATCAGGACTATTCATTATGGAACCGTCTTGGGGCAACCTTGGCCAATGGAGACCGCAGTGAGGAAGCCGTGGAGGCCTACACTCGAGCTCTGGAGATTCAGCCAGGCTTTATCCGGTCCAGATACAACCTGGGAATCAGCTGCATCAACCTGGGCGCCTACAGGTGAAGGATGGGACAGGCAAGACCGGAGATCACTCTTGGGACTGAGGTCTAATAACCTGACAGGTGGTCTCCCAGTAAAAGTACCTGTTTTGGCAGGAGTAGTCCTCTCCCTGCCGTTAAAAGTAAATTCGGGAGGTTGAGACAGGAGGATCGTGAGTTCAAAGCCAGCCTCAGCAAAAAGCAAGGTGCTAAGCAACTCAGTGAGACCCTGTCTCTAAATAGAATACAAAATAGGGCTGGGGATATAGCTCAGTGGTCGAGTGCCCCTGAGTTTAATCCCTGCTATCTGCATCCCCTAAATAAAAACAAAGAGTAAATGTGGAACCTTCAAACCCCAAGGCCTATTTAAGCAGAGGACAGTATGCAGCACTGGTTCTGAATCTTCAGCTGCAATCATCTGGACATCTTGGGAGATGTCGATTCCCAGGCCCCTTCGCCAGAGATCCTGATTCAGTCAGCCTAGGTTAGAACATTGTCTATTTTTAACACCCCCAGGGGCAGCTCTCTGTAAAGCATAAATAGTCCAATCTTGCATTTTCCACTTAAGGAAAAAAAAATCTTGGGAGCATAGGCAAGCAGACTTTGGATGTTCCCAGAAACCAGTGTTTGGCTAAGCAAAACCAAGAATCCAGGTTTTCTAAATCTAGTAAACCAATAATTTTAGTTGGGTAACAAAAAAGAAAAAACATGGTGAGTTTATAGTTTGAAACACCTTTCTTAGTTGCTTATGACTTGTCCTATCATTCAGGTTTATATCTTCTCTTTCTTTTCCTATGTACAGTAACCATCAGTGACCTTTTTTCTTTTGGGTAATGAAAGTATGGGTGATTTTTTTTTCTTCTTTATTTTCTTTTTTTTCTATTTTCTAAATAAACAGGTTTGGCATTTATATTTGAGAAAAAGAGAACTAAACTTAGCTTTAAATCCCACAAATAATGCAAATCTTTCCTCCTCTGAAAGAGCAGCATTTCATAACCAGACAGGCTTCGTCTCAGATCACAGCCATGCCATTCACTGGTTTTGTGACTCTGGTCATATAACTTTGAGCCTTCATATCTCCACTTATAAAGGAAAGGGAGAGGAAGAGAGAGAAAGAATAACAACCACCTTTCAGGATTATCATGCACATTGAATGTAATTGTCTAGCACAGAGCAATAGCTCATTATCTAGTGGACATTTATTACAATTATTGCCATCATAATCCTCAGTATCCCTATTATTATTATTTATTTAGATAAAGTATCTGAGACTTTCATAACAAGGTTTACCTTCTTTTGACATCTGAAGAGTTGCTCTTTCCAAACTGTGTTTGTGTGTTTTGCCAGTGGCAAATTTTGAGGTCTTAGAAAATAGCTGTTGCACTTATACTAAAAGGATCTTACAAAGGACATTAGCCACTGGATTACACCATATCTTCTAAGAGGATTTTGCTCAGGTTAAAACCAGGAATAGCTGAGTGGCTCCTGAGCAGCTGATTTGTTTTATTTATGGATACTGAAAAGTGCTGCTTCGGAGGCCCTCTTCACATAGGCTAAGCAGAAACCCAGAGCTGACGCTGGGCCACCTCCCCGCCCAGCAGCTGTCTGAAGCCCGGGTGATATCCATTTTGCATGCCCACTTCCTTCCTGGTTTCATCAGATTTCTCCTACCTGTTTTTCTCCTCCCCGCTTTTGTTCACTCTTTTCCAGGTATGTTCTGTTTATCTATTTCAGGAGACACCTTTGTCTTTTTGAGGGCAACAAAGGAAGATGTAAATAAACACACACATAGACATACCAAATTCAATTAAAGGGAGCTTTCATAAAGCGCTCAGATGTGTTTTTCTTAATTGTAACTTTTTAATGTAGAAAACAATACTTGGGGCTGGGGATGTGGCTCAAGCGGTAGCGCGCTCGCCTGGCATGCGTGCGGCCCGGGTTCGATCCTCAGCACCACATACCAACAAAGATGTTGTGTCCGCTGAGAACTAAAAAAATAAATATTAAAAAAAAATCAATCTCTCTCTCTCTCTCTCTCTCTCTCTCTCTCTCTCTCTCTCTCTCTCTCTCTCTCTCTCTCTCTCTCTCTCCTCTCTCACTCTCTCTTTAAAAAAAAAAAAAAGAAAACAATACTTGCAGCTTCCACAGAATACATTTCACAGGTGTGAAATTCATTTGTCAGAGACCATAACAACTAAAGACCAGCAACACGGTTGAGCTGTGAAGTTTCAATCCTCAAGCAGGAGGAACAGCAAGTCAATTTTCCGGTTGCGAGAATGCCCAACAAAATTTGAATTTCAGATAAAGGACAGATATTAGTTTTTACTACAAGTATTTTCTAAATATTTTTATTTGCTAAGTCTGATAACCCTGACCAATTGGTTCCTTTGAAACAGCTCAACCAAGCTTTATGGATCTTTTATTGTCACGCCAAATGTGGACATCTTGAGAAGTGATACATAAGCATTTGGGGTTTTCTGGTGAAGGGGGACAAAAAGCCCAAAACCTTAAATGAATTCTGAAAAGAAATTCAACTTCTTTACTTTAACTTGCATTTATACTAAGGAATAGGTACAGGCTTAGGAGTTACAGGTAGAGGTACAGGCTTAGGAAATAGCAACTGTCATTAGTAATGTGACTCTGAAGAAAGCCAGGAGTGAGTATAGATTCTTCTGTCCTCCCCAAAGACCTCACCCTCCAGACTGCAGGTGTCTGTGAGTGCCAAAGGCAAGTCTTATCCTACTACAATGGAAGTAAAGGACATGGTCGATATGAAACTTGGGTAGCTTAAAACATCACACCCTAGTCAGCAGGTGCTTCAGAGTAGTTAACCCTATTCAAAAATGAGGACCCTTTTTTATCTTTTAATTTGTTTTAATTAGTTACACATGACAGTACAATGACCTTGACATCATACATTTGAATCAGATGGGGTATAATTTCTCATTTTTCTGAGTGGACAGGTTGCAGAATCACATTGGTCATGAGTCACGTATATACATACAGCAATAATAATGTCTATTTTATTCTGCTGGAGGGCCCTTTTTTAATAAAAAAAGAAACCATCCCCTTCGAGAGTAGTATTTTTAGTACTAGTATAATGAGGGAAAGATACTATAAAGTGAGTAATGCTTTTAAATGAAGGAGCTTTTGTTGAAGGTGACAGTATCCACAGACAATTGGAATTATTCACACGGGTATCTGGGAGCATTGGAAAGCTATTCATACAGATACATGTGCAATAGTCAGAGTCTCCCCAAAGGACTCTGAGCTCACAAGTTAAGGAACAGGCTTAGACTATCTTTACGAAAACACCTGGAGTGGCTTGATGAGCTTAGTAAATTATTCTTCTGTCACTCTCCAAATCCCTCTGAACAGAAAGCCACAGACGAGAGACTAGAGCAGCTGATAAATGAGGGCTCTGGATCTTCCTCCCTACAGGCTCTTACAGATCTGGGATTGGGAGATGTATCATTAGAGCTGCCACCCTGGGAAGAGGGACCAAAAGGGGCCTCCCCATACCCACCCATTTACAGATCCTCTTCTTGAGCCCAAGGGCCCAGAGGAGAGGTGGTTAGGACACCCACTCCATTGGATCACCCAGGTGACTGCATACAACTCCATTTCCCAGTGGCCTTTTACTCAGGCGAACCCAACAATGTAGATGAGTCTAGTGCCTAGGCCATGTGCTTTGGAATTAGAAATCCAGTCACACTTTCAAGGGATCTTCCCAGACGTTCAATAGCCACCTTCCAGGATTAAGTAAAATCAAGTCTGTGAAAAGATTCTGAGAAGAATAAAGCAAATATAAATTAAAACGGCATGCTTACTCTCAGCAACAGTTAGTTTGTCAAACACATAATACAAGGTTGGAGTGACAGAGGGCCGCTGCAGAGGGCAGAACAGGAGGCAGACCTGGTACCAGCGCAGTCTTGGATTGGATGGCATCTAGCTCAGCTATTCTCAATATTCCTATCCTCACGGTCCCTTTAAGCTTTTAACAATTACTGAGAATCCCAACGGGCTTTTATTTATGTAGCTATATCTATCAGTATTTACCATTTTATAAATCAAAATGAAGTTTTTTAAAGATTCATTTGAAAATAACAAATCCCCATGCTTGCTGGTAATCCCAGTGAATTAGGAGGCTAAGGCAGGAGGAGCACAAGTTCAAAGCCAGCCTCAGCAACTTAGCCAGGCTCTAAGCAAAATAAAATAAAATAAATATTTTTAAATTTTAAAAATGATTTTATTTGCAAATGCAGATCTAAATAAAATTTTTATAAAAAAAAAAAAAAGAGTTGGGGATGTGGCTCAGTGGTTGAATGCCCCAGGGTTCCATTCTCAGTACCAAAAACAAATAAATAATGTTTTTTAAAAAGTAAAAATAGCAAGTCATCATGTTAACATAAATAATTTATTTCACAAGAAAATAATTATTTTCCAAAATTAAACTATGGTCAGAGAAAATAATGGCAGTGTTTTACATTTCTGCAAATTTCTTTAATAACTTGCTTACTAGAAGACAGACTGACTGACTGACTTCTGCATTCAGTCTGTTGGGACAACACACCTCATGTAGTCTCAGGAAAATTCCACCTCTGTGCATTTGAGAAAATGGAAGTAAAAAGGTCAAATAACATCTCAGTTTGTTTGTGTGTTTCTTGTCAGTACTTTACCCCTGAGCCACATCCCCAGCCCTTTATTTATTTATTTATTTTTATTTTGAGACAGAGTCTCACTAAGTTTCTTAGAGCCTCACTGTATTATTAAGACTGGCCTCAAACTCATGATCCTCCTACATCAGCCTCCCAAGTTACTGGTATTACAGGCATGTACCAATACACCTAGCACATCTGAGTTTTATTAAGAAAATAATTTTGACCTCATTGAAACCCTAGGCACCCCATTCCATACTTTGAGAACTATTGATCTTAATAATAAAAAGGTTTTGTATACATTGATTCAACTGCAGCCCAGGACAAAATTCTAAAATGACTTTTATTCTCTTGATGACACACGGAGGGAAACTGAACTTCAAGGGAAAATGAGAAATTTGTCTGGAGCTGAATAATTAGGTCATAAGCCCAGGTGTTCTGCTAATCAAGTCAATTTCACCCTACCTGTGTTCCATATTTCTAGCACAAACAGGAAAGATTAAACCACTTTGTTTCTGAGTAAAGCCATATTTTTCCTCTTAAAATTTAGTAATATAAATCCCATCTGCAAATAGATTAAATCTTCAAACCATTCCTGGAGTAGGAGAAAATCAAATTCAGTAACGAGTTAGCCAGGGTTTTATTCTTCTTTCTTTCCCAAGTGGCATTTGTAAATGAAACTTGCTTCTCTTTCTTCTTTGTGATTCCACTATATTTAGCCATTATTGTTCAGAAAACATTAATGAGAGAATCAGAGAGCTGTTCATCTGATCATCCAAAATTCTACAGAGAGATGATTGAATTTAAAATAACTCAATCTTTTTTTTTTTTAAGTTTGCAAACTCTGAAATTTGTTGCATTTTAAAATGTCTGTTTTTCTGCCCTCTTAGAGAAGCGGTCAGCAATTTTCTCACTGCCCTCAGTTTGCAAAGAAAGAGCAGGAATCAACAGCAAGTTCCTCATCCCGCCATCTCTGGGAATATCTGGGCTGCCCTCAGAATTGCACTGTCTCTGATGGACCAACCAGAGCTCTTCCAGGCAGCTAATCTCGGCGACCTGGATGTCCTCCTAAGAGCTTTCAACTTGGATCCTTGAAGGAAACAAACAGACAAACAAACAAAAATAAAGAATAATAATTCCTCACCCGTGTTATTGTACTGAGAAATGAAAAACTATTTTATTATGAATTTCTGAAAGGATAAATCAGATATTCAAAAGGCCATGGTCACATAACCCAAGGGAATTAATGCCTACAGACAATGCCCAGCCTCTGTTCAGATCCAAAAGCACAAAATGTTGTATATAGAGTCAAGGTCAGGTTCCAAAGAAGAATTGAGAGACTAAAGACAAACCAAGATAAAGTAAACTACGTGTACTCTTCACAAGTTGCAAGTATATTGCAAATCCTGTTTGGTGGGGTCCCCAGTTGCAGCTGCCAGCCCATCTGAGGAAGATGTTCACAGGACCCATGAAGAAAGCACTGCCTCAGATCAGGGAATTCTGACTGTTCCTAAACTGTCCCCTGAAATTCCCCCTTTTGCAAGACTGAACATAGTTTGGGCCATTGGTGCATGCACATATATTAACTCGACTAAAGACAGGCATTGCTTAAACCTGTTCCAGTTTTAACTTTTACTGTAGCCCTGTTTCCAGAGAGGGAGCTTTGCTGGCAAAAGCAGTTTTTGCACTAGAAATTTTTGCTGTTCCCAATCAAAACTTTTCTGGGATTGTATATATGCACTTTAATATCTTATGTATGCCTTGCTGGAGTTTGGTTTCGTTGCTCCAATTTTTAACTTGGGGGGGGAAAGATTTGGGAACTCAGAGTTGTTAAGATCAACGGACCAAATAAATAATTTCTGGAAAATAGTTTTTCATAGTGTAGGGTTTCAAAGGAGTGTTTTTTCTTAAAGCAGACCTGACATAGGGTTAAATGTGCAAACACAGATCTTATTCACATGCTTTCTGGGACTGTATGAACTTGGAGACCAGATTGTGTCTCTTCATGCATTCTCTGCAGGAGGAAAGCTATCAAGTGATGATATCATGATTCCTATTGAGTTTGCATTAACTTGCTTAAGTGTCATATTTTACTAGCTTTCTAACTGCCCTGCATAACAAAATTCCTTTTAAACTATTCCTATTAAATGGTATTTCTTAAGAGTGATAATACATTTTTCCTAAAAAGGATGCATTTCCTTCGTTCCATGGTGATCTGCACTCTTCACCTCCTTGCACTGTAATGGAAGATCAACATTTTTTAACTGAACCTCACTGAATGTCAGCCGTTTCATATGAAAGATGCATGGCCCTTTGGCTCTTATTTTAAACATTTAGCAAGTTTCAGGAATTTTCTATTGGCAGTAGTGTTTTATTTAATTGGTTACCTTCCACTTAGTTCTTCAGAGTATTTTGTGTGTATTTGAGGCTTGATAATTATTTTGATAGATACATTTTTTAAATAATTAGGAAAAAAAATTTGCAAAATGCTAACCAAAATATCACTTTACCCAGGTCCAGTTCTAGTGAATTTTCCTATTGTTCTTCACCTTGTCTCCTTCCTTCCTCCAGAAACTCCTTCAAGATAGTCTGATCTCAAGTTTTTCTTCATGGGTTTGTTTGGGATGGTAGTAGCTCATTCCACTCATGACAATAATTATCAAGAGAGAATTGGGGTCAAAACAGTTTAATTAGAAAACAAGCTTCAGCTGAGAGGGAAATGTGCCCACATACTGGGAGGAGAGTGGACTCAGGGCTCAAGTATGAACCTTCTGTGTCCCCTTGGAGTCCCTGAGTTGTGAGGGGCCTCAGGTTAGCATGAAACCAGAAGTCCTTGAGGTGTAGAGGCAGGGCACCATGGGGAGGGCCAGGTTTTGCAATTCATTGTCAAAGTTCAAGTGGGTCTGGCTTCAGCTGGGCAACAGGAAGCAGAGGCATTCAGCATCCACCTTTGGGCAGAAGTGACAGCCCAGTCTTGGCCTTTGTTTCTCTACAGTCTGAGCAGCAAATAAATCTCAAAAATATTTTCAAGAATGGCATTCTTTAGAATTTGAGAAATTATTAATTCGGTCTGAGAAGGACCCTTGGGGCTGACCTCTAACCTATGGTAGCTGCCTTCCTGGTAGAGCAGTCTCCAATCTCTGTTACTCCTTCCTCCTCAGGATCTCTGTGCACTCCCCCACTGGTCAGCTGACTTGAATCCATCAGCGTGCATTAGGAGCCTCAGAACAAGGATTCAAAGCAAACTTTACAGTTGTTCTGCTTTTGATGCCATTCTATACTCTCAGCTGCAACTGAATTTGCAATGCTAATGATGTGCTTGGCTCTCAGTCTTGCTTGCAGTGTGTACAAGATATCAGTAACCATTTAAAACCCGAAAGTAAAGCAAATGCAGGGTTTTGGGGATTAATTTGATTGTTGCTAGGTGGGGACAAATTTCATGGCCCAAATTATATTTTGCTATTGGAAAACAAAATTACTTCAAAGTCCAGGGAGTTGTTATAGCGGAGAGATGATAATTTTCCATTCCTACCATTATTTAGCAATTTTCAAAATATTTGGTGGGATTTAATGCCAGCCTATCTACTATTGTCCACCAGAACAAGAGTTGCATTTTTCAAAAATCAAGTAAAAACCATTACTAAAAAGCAAGTGAAAATTTATGGAAATAAAACACCACCAAAAATTAAGTTTGCAATATTTTAGAATACTCTTTATTACATATAGCATATATTTCTTGGTATATACTTTTTTTTTAAGACAACAGTTTGGGGCATCATCTTTATGGCAGGAAATTGTCACTTAAATTACTATTTCCATTTTGAAAGAATAGGATGCCCTTGGTTCCCTTCTGAGGCTGCTGCTTTTTTTAATCAATGAGCAATGGCTAAGAGCCCTGGAGGATGGCACCCACTTACTACAATGGCCACTCAGTGGCATAGAGATGACTTTCAGAGACTGACTGTACCAGGAAATGGAATGCAAAGGCAGAGAGACCCAGCAATCTCTGCTAAGTTTCAAAGTACGACCATTTCCTGCAGACGATCTCTATGGCTGCTGATCTCAACTGGGAAAAAGAGGCAGGGGACCGAAAGAGGAAGAGCAAAGGGTCCTCTAACTGAGCCAACTGCAGCGATTCTGGTTCTGTTCTTTCTCTCAAGAGCACTACACAAGCTCTTAGAAGAAAGGCAGATCTTATCCCCAGGGAACTTTAATGGAGAACTATGAAATGTGCCTTTTCAGCCAGTCTGGGTTTCTACCACGATGGCAAAGGCGTGACGCACAACTGAGTACAAGAGTCCAGAACATGTTCGCTTTCAGGAGTTTATTCCTCTTTCACGTTAAGAGGCCTATTGTGTTCAATCTTGGGCCCACGTCTAAATTTTTACATAGATAAATCTCTCTGGTGTGTTCTTGCCACACAAGCAACATTTGAACACCGTAATAGCTAGTACCACTTGGAGCTCCTTGAGGAAATAAAGCAAGATAGTCATTTTGTGTCCCTTCCTCATTTGTTCCTGAATCAGTTCCAAGAGACTGGTCTGTACTTTTTGTTATTTTGATGGTGGCGGTGACTCTTCTCCACCTTGAAATGCTTCTAGGTGCATACTGGAAGCAGGGTGTTCTGAAGGGTTAATTCATGTGCCATCTTTTGAGCCCACTTGTTTTAGAAATTAATAAACAGCCACCCTCATAATTTCAACTTTGTAAAACAATTTCAAATTCATTTCCTGTTCAGATTTTGCTGTACAGTTTCCCTCTTGTCTCAGTATTTGCAGAACTGGTTGAAATTAAACTGTTTTGAACTAAGAAGCAGATACATATATATATTTTTTGAGTGTTCAGAGATGAACTCTGGCAAAAGTTTGTAAAAAGGCAATTTTTAAAAAGCAAATCATATAACCTCAGGTACAAAAATATCGCATGCATTAGTACTTACAAATCTGCCTACTCAAATATTAACCAAAGCATGCAAGATAACTTTACTGAATGTAAATTTACACCATGCATGATTAAGTCTCATAGGTTAGCTTATTTTTCCTTGCTCCTGAACAAGAGAGAAATTTCATGAAATTTGTGTTTCAGGTTTTTTGGTTTTTTTTTTGGCTTTTATCCTATCCCTGAGATTGATTTCATACAATCACATTGAACTTGACAGATATTCACATGTCTGTTTTGTGCAATGTTGCAGCTGGTGCCAAATTAAAGCTCTGAGGAATCTGGGTGCAGACATCCAAATGCTTCTCTTAACAGCCAGTTGGGGCACAACAGAACCAAATTGGAACAAATCCATGTGTCTGCAAGCTATTCAATTAAATCGTGTTCATTACATCATTACATAAAGGTTTGGGCTCTAAATTCTTTAAAATTTATTTTTTAAATATTTTAAGTTTCAGAAAATTAGAAAAACTGGCATTTTAAGTAATGCAGGGAAGTTAGAAAAATGCTCAGACACATGAAAATCATCATAAGGCAAAGTGGACATAGGGCCTTAATTTCCATAAATGTCACTTTAGAAATGACACAGTGTCACATGAGATGTGTAGAGTATCAGCTTTGTTCTGACATAGCCCTATGTGTATGGTAGGTGAGCTACCTGGGCCCCTGTCCCTTGAGAACGGATTTGACCAATAGATCTGAAAGCATGGAAGTTTGGGAGTGAAGCAGTGATTTCACAGTCACTGAGAATCAACTCTGAAATCTTCTCACTCTCTGCCATTGTCTGTAACCCCTATTTGAAAAGAGACCAGAAGTAGACAAAAAAGCTCAGTAAGACAATGGAGTCTTATGTTAGTAAGAGCTTTGTTACCCACATCATTCTCTGATATCCCCCTGACACATGCAAGCTCAAAGACCAAATCCCACACATACAGAGCAAAGACCATGGCAGGAGGCACTGAACAGTTAAAAGGGAAACAAATATCAAAGTGTGAAGCTCAACAACCTCTCACATGGCATTTTGCCTTACCAAGTTTCCAATGCCTGCAACCTCTGCAGAAATCCAAAATAACACACTCTGGAAACCAGTGTCCCTATCTCACAACCGTTTCCTCAGAACCTTCTCTGCAAGAGAACTAAACTCGCAATGTTGCAGAGTGTCACTCAGTGGGACACTTAGAAAACCTGCCTTGAAATAATATCAAGATTTGGAAAAAAAAAAAGTGAAACAATTCTTTTCTAAATGATAAATCTGCATAGTTTTCTTTTAGTTTTTGGTTTTTTTTTTTTTTCCTTCAAATTTTTTGGTGAGGGAAGTGGTGTGATATGAAAAGGACAAAGAGGCACACACAGGTCATTTGCACATCTGGTATTTTCACTGATATATATGATATTTTTGCATGGATATCATAAAAGGAATGTTCCATGTGAAAAATGAGTTCACGATTGACTATGTTACCAGTAGCAAGGAAATACAGCAAACCTAGATTTTATCAACTTTATTTCATTTTCTCCGTATATCATCTAACCCAAACCCTCCATTTTCATTGCCCAAATTTGTTTACATTGGTTGAAAAAAACTGATTAATTTAGTAAACTTTTTACAAACTATAACAAGCATTTATTAACTATTTAGAAGAGACATTTCTATATATTTTGTATATCTATGACTATTGCATATCTAGTCTAATCTAAAAACATTGTTTTAGACAAATTCTGTGATGCTTCCTCATCATACTCAATAATGTTTAAAATCTTAGAATTTCATTTTCAAGCTGAATTAAACGACACAGAAGAAAAATAACTTTAAATGTTTACATTGAGTTTCTAAATTAACACCAACCCAAATTAAATGATCTATAGTAAATTAATGACAAGGGGAATTTAAAAGTTATTGGCATACTACATGATACTGTATCTGTGATTTAGTGAAATAATATGTATCATAGCACAACTCTGTTAGGTATGAAGTCTTCATCTTGGTCTTTCTCTGCATTGCTTTTTGAAATAAAATTACTACTGTAAAAATAACCTCTTATACCGATGTGTTTAATTTACTCATATGGCTTATTATTTGCAAAGTACCAAAATATTAAGGTAGTATTTTTATACTATTATTGGAAGCATGCCTTCCCTTTTTCACATTATTAAATTGTATTTATATTTGTGCAGTTTTAAACTATGTTTTCCAATAAACTTTGTCTGTGGCTTCAAGGTCTTTTCAGGAATCTTTCAAAATGGAATTTGGAGATCAGAATTGCTTAGAATTGAATAGAATCCAATTTGTACTACTGGCTAAAAGGTTCTTTTATTGACTATCGCTGCATATGATCTTGCATGAGATATCTGGAAATCAGGAATGCATTTTTAGATATGCAACAAAACTTTGAAACCTTCCTCCTTTGTTAATTTTTTAAGACTAAAATACTATTTAACCTGAAATTAAAATTTGTGACCTTTTTAGAATAAAAGTATCAAAATGTATTTCACTTTAGGGTCTTTCTTGGGGGGAAGTCAGTCAATAATTGGGTAGAGACTCTAAGCAGGCACTATTCTAGGTGTGAGATACAATGGTAAAGAAACAAAATCAATCTTTCTTTAAAAACAGAGAGAGAGATTTCTGTGTAAAGAGACCTGCAAATACTTTAACAAACAAGAATGCCTGCACTGCCCCATGGTAGAACAGGGCAAATGAGGTATATGAGTGGGCAGAAGCTCCCTCATCTATAGGTTGTTAGAAAAGTTTTTCTTTTAGGTGACATTGGGCTGAGATTTGAACAAGGACACAGACAAATGAAGCTGGAGACAACATTCCTGGCAGATCCAATAGCTGGTCTGAGATGCAGAGGCAGGAATGAGCTTGGTGTGCAGTCAAGATGCAGGGGGTGTGAGCAGGGAAGCCCTGGGAGACCTTGGGAGTTAGCAGTGGGGTGTGAGATCAGGGTGGAGTGGGACAGGGGCTTCCCAGAGCACAGTAAAGGGCAGAGTTGTCCCCAAGGAGAAGAGAGATGGCAATTACACGACTAGTTTCTGTTCCCCGGATGTTTACAAATGAAATCCTCCACCAGCCAGGTTAGTGATGGAGGGAGCCTTGGGCTCTGGTGAAGAGAGTGGTGGAAGCAGGGGTGGGAACACCCCTTTCTCTCTCTTTTAATGTCCCCTCTTTTGATCACTGGCAGCACTTGACATTGGTGGCATTCCATCTTTTTCTCTTTAAAATCAAGTTGTGCTTTTTCCTTCCTGACTCACTGCTGGGCTATATAAAGTCAAATTGCTTTCTCTAGTAGTGAATTGAGGGCTTTCTCTCACCCCTATGATAACTCAAGCCTCTCTCATGTCTCTGACCTCCACTTCTTAAATGTGAATTATATTAATTTCCTGAAATAGCTCCTTCTCTTCATGTGTATGTAAGAAGCAGCCCAAGGTTTGAAGAATTCTTTGTAATTCTTTACAAGTATCCTTAAAGCAATACACATTTTACGGCTCACAAAAATCTTAGAAGCATAATAAATAATAAATAATGCTTCCTGGTATTTGGGGCTTTTTGTGGTTTGTTTGTTTTCTTTTACAGTGCTGGGGATCAAACCCAGTTCTCCCACCCACCCCCCATGCCACAGCATCTGGTAATTAGATTCATGTATCAGAATTTTGGAAACTGATGACTAATTCTAGTATTTTTCCTGTAGATCTAGACTATTGATTCTTAGTAGGCCCAAACTTCAGTTTACTTACCCAAGTTGATATGGGTAGAGATGAGCCTTCCTGCCCAAGTACTTTGAAAGAGAAACAGACAGGGAACTAGTATTTACTGAAATGTGCCACATGCCAAAGTCCTGGAACAGAATGTTTCTATTCTGTCATTTAACCCCAATAGGCACCCATGTTCCTTTTTTTTTCCTGTTAATTTTATCCAGTTCATGGTGGTTAATAATATTGCAAAGAATTCAGACAAAAATGGTTCAAGATTTTAAAAAAAACTCCCATATTAAAAACTGACTAAAATTCACATCTAATACTAAAAATTTGCCAGGAAAAAAAAAGACTTGAGAGAAGTAGCTAAGAGAAAAGCTAACATTGCTCATAGTAAAATTTGCTATTGATTAAAAATGGACAAAAGAAAAAAATTTTCTTGACAAAATTTAGATTTGCAAATTTTCACCTGGCAAAACTGGGCCCCATGTGTATGAAGACATGAATTGATGTGAACATATTGTGTGTACAACCAGAGATATGAGATATTGTGCTCTATATATGTAATAAGAATTGTAGTGCATTCCACTGTCATATATAAATAAAAAAAGAAAATATAAATAAAAATAAAAGACTTATTCTGTTATACATTTTTAAAAATTATTCACCTAGTTTGAGTTGATATGAAGAAAAAAGAGAACTATGCACAAATGTTAGGTAAGATTACCTTAATAGATTTTTTTAGGTTTCTTTGTCAAAAGCATAAAAAGTAACGTTTTGCGAGTTACGTATTATATGCCATCTGAAGGAAAGTCTACCTCAGTACCTCCAAAAATTCAATTTTTTGGAGATGGGGTTGTCTGTACTCATCCTTCAAAGTTTGGGATCCACTCATGAAGTGAGTTATTACAGATCCAATGTTTGTGCAGAATTATGCATATACATGTATATAAAACATATTCCTTTACTATATGTGTGTAAAACATACTCCTTAATTAAATCTACAAATCTTTAAAAGAAAGAAAGAAAGAAAGAAAGAAAGAAAGAAAGAAAGAAAGAAAGAAAGAAAATGATAGCTGCAAAAGAAGACTCACACTAGCAAAAATTATAATAGTGAAACTGAGACGAGGGCCCAAAACTCATGGATGACTTCCACTAATCTCATAGAATTTTCAGAATTAACACCAATTAAACTAATTGCATTAAAATAGAAAAAAATGTAAAAGCTTAAAAATAGTTCAACTTTTAAATATTGTTTCACACCTTCTCCTCTCTTCAAATTTCCAAACTCCCCCATCACTTCTCCCCTGATGACCTGGCTTCCTATTTCACAGAGAAATTAGAGCAGGGAGGAGAGGGCCCCAGACTCACGGTTGGTCTCTGCCCTCTTCCCACTTCCTTACCCCTGGCTAAATCAACTCTCCACTTTGGCACCAGATACCATCCCTCTTACTGCTCAAGACTATCAGACCAGAAATCCTTCCATCTCTCTTTTGTCATCTTCAATAGTTTGTTTTCCATTTGTCCATCTTTTTTTCTCACATTTAAAAAACAAAAATCTTTTCTTGATCCCATGCTACCTCCCCTGTCGTTCATTATCTGCTTCTTTGCTTTTCCGTGTAGCAGAAACCCTCAGGAGCTACAGGCATTTATCACTTGAAATTCCCCTCCTTCCTTCTCTCTTCAACCTTCTCCTTCCACCCTTCACCAAAACTGTTCCCACAGAGATCTTGATGCCCTCCAGGTTTATCAGTCTCACAGCGGATCCTCAGTCTTCATCTTACTTAACCTATCACAGTTGTTATCAGTTGATTGCTCTCGACTCTGCAAGACCCTTGCTTCCCTTAGCTTCTACTCCAGGCACCATTCTCTTGGTTTTCTTCTCCCTTGGCACTTGCTCCTGTCAGTCTCCCCTGCAGGCTGGTCTGCTCCCCGACTTCTTATGCAGAAGTAGCCCAGGGCTCAGTGTCTCCATCTCTTCTACTTCTTGTCTCCCTCCACTAGTGACTGCACCTGCCTCATTGTTTCAACTACCATCTAAATGTCAACCACTCCCAAATTTTTACCTTCAGTCTAGAACACTTCTCCAAAATTCTGAGTTGTGTATCCATCTTCCTACTCAACATCAACCACGGAGGTCTCACAGGCATTTATTTCACTCTATACAGCCCAAATAGGACTCCCGATCATCTTTCTCCACCACTAGCATCCCAACTTTGACAACCCTTCCTTCTCCTATTTGATTGACAAAAACTTTGGGGTCAGCTTTAGCTATTCTTATTCTCTCATCCTCATGTCCTATGCATCAGGAAGTCCTGCTGGTCTTACCTTCAAATGCATCCAGAATCTCACCACTCTCACTGCCTCCACTGCTAACACCCCCATCTGAGCTACCATCTTCTCACCTGGCTTACCACAGTAGCCCCTGCATCAACCCTTGCCCTCCTAACATCTGGTCTAAACAAAGAGCATTATTAAAACTTCAGTTAGACCAGGTCAGTGCTCTGATCAAGACCCTACAATGTTCCCCATTGTACTCTACAGTAAAGCCCTCAATTGCCTGTTGGGCCCCTTTTTGACTTCCTGTCCAGACTCCCCTTCCCTCCAGCCATGCTGGTGCCTTTGATGCTCATCTGACATATCAAATGTGCTGCCACTGTGGGGCCTCTGCACCAGCTAGACCCTTTCCCAACTACATTCTTTTCCCCCAAGTATCTACCAGAATGATACAACTTCATTGGAGTCTTGTTTCAGATGTTACCTAGAAAGGATGACTTTCCCTAGTAACTTATTTATACTGAAATCTACCCTCTAACCCCGATCTGTGGTTTCTCTTCTCCATAGCAGTCAAGATCCTATAATGTTATATGATCTATACTTACTTCTTATGTTGACATCTGTCTCTCCCTGCTAGAAAATAAATTTGACAAGGGAAAGGACCTTATCTGGTTTGTTTACAACATAGATGTTTGCTATTTGTTGAATTTGAACCATGGTATATAATGAATCCGTTGACTTAATGGAATAATCTCCAGAAAAGTACTTTTGTCATCAATGTTGGTATATTTTGATTTAAAAAAAAATTTTTTAGACTGAAACAAGGGATCAAAACCTCCTTAGAGTACAAATGCTAGATAGAATAAGATGGTGATGTAAAAAATGCTCTGAGTCTACCAAAGTGCCAGATTTCTTACATAACTCATCTCAGTATTGTTATGCTCATTGCACAGGTAAGAAGACTGCATTTCTAGATATTAAGTGCTTACCAAAGTCAAACTGACCTCAAACTTGCAATCTTTCTGCCTCAGCTTCCGTAGGCCCTGGGCTTTCAGGTATGTACCACCGTGCCCAGTAAATAGAAGTACTTTTAAACAGCATGCCCTATGTGTTAGGCCAAATAATGCCCCCACCCAATTCCACATTCTAATCCCCAAGCCTTGTGAATATGTTACCTTTCATGGTAAAAGCAACTCTGCAGATGTGACTGAGGGTCTTGATATGGAAAGAGGATTCTGAATTATCTGAGTAGGCCCAATGTAATGGTCATTATAAGAAGGAGGTGAGAGAGTCATTGGAAGGAGGCATGACAATGGAAGCAGAGGCTGGGCAGATGCCAATCTGCTAGGAGGCGATGGGCTAGGGAATGCAGACAGCCTGTCAAAGCTGGAAAAAGCAGGAATGGAGGAATAGAGTCTTCCTGCAGCTTTCTTGCTGATAACCTTGATTTTTATTCCCATAAGCCATTTTCAGACTTCTAACTTAATAAATGTATTGTTGTAAGTCGGTAAGTTTGT